TTGATACCACCTAGTAGTTGATACCACCTAGTCTACCGTAACTACAAGCTCTTTCCCTGGGTGCAGGTCATTCTCATAATCTACTACCTGATCTTTTTAAATAAGATCTTCTACATAGGTGTCTCCCTTTAAAAAATATCAATTTTCCACAAACAACAATAAATTGAGCAATTCTAAGGTTGGTCTGACATAACAGGAATATATTTTCTTGTCTATCTAGATAAATAGAAATGGCTAATGTGATCTTCCTTTATATCAAACCCTCACAAGAAGCCAAACAAAAAACATTGCTGGAAGAAGAGAGCAAAGAAGAAGGAACACTGTGAACTTGGCTACTTTAGTGAGTAGCCAATACACTGGATTTACATATTCAGCAAAACACAGATTGGAAGACACAGATGTCTGAAAATAGTGGAAAGAAAGAATCAAAGCACCTGATGGTTTTACTCATAATATCTTAGGCCCTATCCACACAGCTGAATAAAATCCCACATTTTCTGCTTTGAACTGGACTACATGGCAGTGTGGACTCAGACAAGCCAGTTCAAAGCAGATATTCTGCCTTGATATTCTGGGTTATATGGCTGTGTGGAAGGGCCCTTAGTTTGCCTGAAGCCACAGATTGATTCCAGCTTGTGCCACAATCAAAAGCATTGTTCTTAAGCATTCTATTACTCTTCTACACATTCACCATTCAAACGTCAAGTGGTTCTCAACCTGAATTCCCAGAAATCCTGGTAAACTGGCTGGGATTTCCGTGAGTTGTAGGCAAAAAACATCTGGGGACCCAAGGTTGAGAAGCACTAGCAGTTGGCTACTTAGGCTGGATCAAAACTGCCTTATATCCCAGGATCTGGTCCCAGATTATTTGCTTTTCCCATATTCTATGGCAGTGTAGACTCATATAATCCAGTTCAAAGCAGATATTCTGGGATCGGATTATGGGAAATAGGGCAATGTAGATCCAGCCTTAGACTATTAAAAAGAACCACATTTCCTCTCCTTCCCCCCTCTTTCCATTGCGTAAATGAGTGTAAATGACTTGTGCACTTTGAATTCAGTTTGCAGAAGAAAAACGAAACTGGGAAAAGGAGCGTGAAACTGGAGCATTTTAGAAGCATCTGAAAAAGTGGGATGGAAGAGGATTAATCTGAATTAACTCTGCCGAATTAGGACAGTTGTAAAGTATGAATGAATCAAAGTGAAAGAGAAGAATATCCTTCTAATAGAAGGCTCACAGAGGGCCCTTCCACACAGCCATGTAACCCAGAATATCAAGGTAGATAATCCACAATATCTGTTCTGAACTGGGTTATTTGAGTCCACACTGCCATATAACCCAGCCCAAAGCAGATAATGTGAGATTTTATACAGCTGTGTGGAAGGGGCCTGAGAGAGACAAATGAGACTCAAATAAGAAACCACAGAACTTTTAGAACCTGATCAACACTGCAATATTATACATGGCTACTCAGTAGTAAATCTAATTCGATTTAGCTGGATTTATGGCCACATAGGAGTTTATAGGAATTACATTTTTCAAAAACTGAATATAAAAATGTAACCAAGACAATACTTGTGGTCTCTGATAGTTGAGAATTAGGAAATCCAATCACTTGGGCTAAGTGTACAAAATCCAAAATCCACAAAACAGCAATGCTCTTACAGGTCAACTGATGCCCCTTCTACACTGCCATATAAAATCCAGATAGTAGTAATAACAATAACACTTTATTTATATTCTGTCCTTCTCACCCCGAAGGGGACTCAGGGTGGATCACAGTACACATTCAATGCTGTTTTTTGGATGGGACAAAGACAGAACAGAAAGGTATATATTGTGTTGTGTTGACATGCAGTTGAAGATCTAGCTTGTTGGCGCCTTTGGAAGTTGCCAGCCACAAGGGGCGCTGTCACTCCATCCTATGATGAAGAGCCATCAGGACTTCTTCCTTTTGGTCACCAGCATTCATTGATCTTTTTCTTTATGGTGTCGTAAAATACCTCCCCCACATTAGCGGTACCTAATTTCTCTAATCAAAGCTGTAAGCTGTTTTTGAACTGCTTAGGTAAACAGTGAGCATGGCTGACAGTCGGGTGCTCATGCTGACCTGGGGCTTCGAACTTGCAACCTTTTGGTTGGTAGATCTCATCACTGCAGTGATAAGGCCTGATGCCTTATCTTCTTTGAACTGGATTATATGGCACTGTAGACTCATAATCCAGTTCAAAGCAGTGTAGAAAGGACCTATGATATCTAAAAGGCTGATTGAAAGTTTTTCGCACAGAAAGTTACATTATTTTCCATATTTTTTTGAAGTGAACAGCAAAACCACAAGAATTGGTCAACATATACTGGATTATATGGCAGTGTAGAAGGGGCCCAACAAGCTGAAAATATAACACACAAGCTTTTGAAGCTTCACTGGGTCCTGTATGATTTTGAACACTTTTGCCTGATGAAGTCAGAAAGCTTGCATGATGCATTTTTGGCATTTTAGTTGGCCAATAAAAGTACTGCTGCTTTGTTGCATTTTCCTAGGAACTGCACTTTCTCCTCTGGGAGAACGGTTATTTGATTTTCTAGCTGTCCTAAAATTCCTACCACATATATTGTTCTAATCCCCATTCACCTTGGAGAATGAAAGCAAGTTATGAATTTTATGGAAAAAATTGGCATTGTTTTCTATGGATACTTCCTTTTGTATCAAGGAAGGTGAGAAAAGTTTTGCCAACATTTGCCGACTATTCTACAGCCCTTCCACACAGCCATATAACCCAGAATAGCAAGGCAGAAAATCCAACAATATCTGCTTTGAACTGGGTTATCTGAGTCCACACTGCCATATATTTCAATTCAAAGCAGATCATGTAGGATTTTATTCAGCTGTGTGGACGGGCCCTAGTTACCCATTGGCCGATATGATAAAGTTAATGGCTAAGCTATCACAGAGGTTCTAAGTTAATATTTGTCATGTTTCAGTTTAGCAACTATCTCATTCTGGCTAATGTTGGGCTGACCCTGGCAAAACAAAACACTTTGTTAAATAAGGAGCACTTTTCTCATTTGTCTCCTTTTGCCCTGACATCACTGTGGCAAAAAGCAAACAATTCATTAGGTTTGCAGGTACAAACATTCACTCTTGTTCCACCAACTTCAATAGGCATCTTCAACCTGGCATCCTCCAGATATTTCATGTTGTTGTTCATTCATTCAGTCGTTTCCAACTCTTCGTGACTTCATGGACCATTCCATGCCAGAGCTCCCTGATGGCCGTCATCACCCCCAGCTCCTTCAAGGTCAACACAGTCACTTCAAGGATGCCATCCATCCATCTTTGCCCTTGGTCGGCCCCTCTTCCTTTTTCCTTCCATTTCCCCCAGCATTTCATGTTTCATGTTACAACTCCCATACTGTGGTCATGATTGTTGCAAAATACTCTATGTGGGGTTGCCTTTGAAGACTGTTTGGAAACTCCAACTAGTCCAATGGGTGGCAGCCAGATTACTCACTGGAGCGACATACAGGGAACATACCCCCCTCCCCCCGTTGTGTCAGCTCCACTGGCTGTCGGTCCATTTCCAAGCACAATTCAAAGTGCTGGTCTTGGCTTATAAAGCCCTATATGATTCCGGCCCAGCTTACTTGTCCAAATGTATCTCCCTCTATGATCCGCCTCAGAGTCTAATTTCATCCGGGGAGGCCCTGCTCTCTATTCCACCCTCCTGCAAACCTGACTGGTGGGGACAAGAGACAGGTGGACCCCCAGCTGTGGAACACCCTCCCAGTGAAATTAGGTCGGCTCCATCTCTCCTTTCCTTTAAGAAAAAAGCTCAAATACTGGTTTTGGGACAGGCATTCGGGTAGCAGGCTTAACAGTAATCACAATGCTTCATGAGAACTGATAATGCTCCCTCCTCCCTTTTTTTTTTGGTCGTGTCAGGAGCGACTTGAGAAACCGCAAGTTGCTTCTGGTGTGAGAGAATTGGCCGTCTGCAAGGACATTGCCCAGGGGACGCCCGGATGATTTGATGTTTTTATCATCCTTGTGGGAGGCTTCTCTCATGTCCCCGCATGAGGAGCTGGAGCTGATAGAGGGAGCTCATCCACCTCTCCCCTGTTGGTCTTCAGTCCTGCAGGCTCAGGGGTATGACTTTCCCTCACGTATTTATACAAGGCCATCATGTCTCCTCTCAGTCTTCTCTTCTTCAGGCTAAACATGCCCAGCTCTTTAAGCCGCTCCTCATAGTGCTTGTTGTCCAGACCCTTGATCATTTTATTTATTTATTTATTTACTTTGCTTATATACCGCTGTTCTCAGCCCGAAGGCGACTCACAGCGGTTTACACACAATAAAACAGCAATAATTCAATGCACATATAACAATTGACCACTTAACACATTATCCACTTAATAAACAACAAGCAATTACACTAAACAATTATTACAATAACCAGCCCAATCGTCTCATCATCAAAGCGTAGTCCAGGTTCGTCGTCCATTGTTCCATTCCTATGTTCAATTACCAATATTGCACTAGATTACTCAAACGCCTGCACAAACATCCAGGTCTTCAACTTTTTTCGGAATGCCATGAGAGATGGTGCCAGCCTAATGTCCGTAGGAAGGGCGTTCCACAGCCGAGGGGCCACCACCGAGAAGGCCCTATCTCTCGTCCCCGCCAACCGTGCTTGAGAAGCCGGCGGGATCAAGAGCAGGGCCTCCCCGGAAGATCTCAAAGTCCTGGTGGGTTCATAGGCCGAGATGCGGTCGGAAAGGTATCTTGGGCCCGTTTAAAGAATTCCATCTAAACTTTAGGAGGACCTTCTTAAGGGTAATTGAACTATGCTGCCTGGGAGCTGGTGGGGTCTCAAGAAGAGACAGGATGGAAATGTGTCTGGGGAGCTTTGCATTTTCCTCCATGGCAGGATGCATTATTTGGGATCTCTTCCAACTCTCTTCGTGGCAGGGATAGACCAAACCTGGAGGGGGCGGTAGTGGAAGGCAAAAGTCCATGCAAGACGACGACACGAGTGTGGTTACAGGGCTGGGATTGTCTTCCTTTGGGGAGGGGGATCCTTCTCAAGTTTTCGGGCGTTTGCAATGTGCAGCCGCTTGCTGTTGCCAACAGCTTCCCGTTTGGTGAGTGGAGGGCTTTTCCTGAGCCGCCCTTGGAGGACATCGCCCGCCGCCATGCAGACGCACTCAGCTTCTTCCAGTGCTGGCGAGACACCCAAAGGTTTGTTTGTATCTCCGGTGCCTTCCCTGACCAGCAAAGGGGGGTCGTGTGCAGGCAGAGGCCTCGATTGTGGTCCAGGAACACAAACAAACAAACAAACGAGGAGGAACTTACTCTGCCTACCACTTGCTCCCTTCGGAGCATGGGTGGCCCTGCAGTGCTCTTTAGCTGTCCTTCAGCGACACCTGCAGGCCGAACGCCGGTACTGCGGGACAGGGAGAAAAAGTTATTACAGAGCCTCACAATTATTTATTTGGGTTGTTGTAGGTTTTTCCGGGCTATATGGCCATGTTCTGGAGGCAATTTTTCTCCTGACGTTTCGCCTGCATCTATGGCAAGCATCCTCAGAGGTAGAGGTCTGTTGGAAGTAGGAAAAATAGGTTTATATATCTGTGGAATGACCAGGGTGAGACAAAGGACTTTTGTTTGCTGGGGCTAGCTGTGGATGTTTCAGCTGATCACCTTGATTTGCATTCAATGGCTTGGTAGCGCCTGGGGGGAATCTTTTGTTGAGGGTGATTTCATGTGCCTGTTTGTTTCCCCTCTGTTGTTTTCTGCTGTAATTTTTGAGTTTTTTAATACTGGTAGCCAGATTTTGTTCATTTTCATGGTTTCTTCCTTTCTGTTGAAATTGTCCACATGCTTGTGGATTTCAATGGCTTCTCTGTGTAGTCTGACATGGTGGTTGTGCGAGTGGTCCAGCACTTCTGTGTTCTCAAATAATATGCTGTGTCCAGGCACATGAAATCACCCTCAACAAAAGATTCCCCCCAGGCGCTAAAGCCATTGAATGCAAATCAAGGTGATCAGCTGAAACATTCACAGCTAGCCCCAGCAAACAAAAGTCCTTTGTCTCACCCTGGTCATTCCACAGATATATAAACCCATTTTTCCTAGTTCCAACAGACCTCATTACCTCTGAGGATGCTTGCCATAGATGCAGGCGAAACGTCAGGAGAAAAAAATTGCCTCCAGAACATGGCCATATAGCCCGGAAAAACCTACAACCCATGGATTCCGGCCATGAAAGCCTTCGACAATACAATTTATTTATTTATTTATTTACTTTGCTTATATACCGCTGTTCTCAGCCCGGGGGCGACTCACAGCGGTGTACAACATAGGAAGAACAAAATTCAAAATTCAAGACACAGTATAAAATAATTCACAATCCAGCATTAAACAAAAAAAATCGTCATTACTACGAAAGCCATTCCGCATCGTCTCATCGTCCAAACCACAATCCAGTATCATTTTCCATTGTTCCATTCCTATAGTCATTACCAATCATTGCACTTCTTGTTCGAACGCCTTCTTGAACAACCAAGTCTTTAATTTCCTGCGGAATATCATCAGGGAAGGAGCCAGTCTGATGTCCACGGGAAGGGTGTTCCACAGCCGAGGAGCCACCACCGAGAAGGCCCTATCTCTCGTCCCCGCCAGCCGTGCCTGTGAAGCAGGCGGGATCGAGAGCAGGGCCTCCCCGGAAGATCTCAAAGTCCTGGTGGGCTCGTAGGTCGAGATGCGGTTGGATAGGTATCTTGGGCCGGAACCGTTTAGGGCTTTATAGGCCAACGCCAGCACCTTGAATTGAGCCCGGTAGCAAATTGGCAGCCAGTGGAGCTGGTACAACAAGGGAGTTGTATGCTCCCTGCGCTCCGCTCCTGTTAGTATCATGGCTGCCGACCGTTGGACTAATTGGAGCTTCCGAGCCGTCTTCAAAGGCAACCCCACGTAGAGAGCATTGCAGTAGTCTAAACGGGATGTAACCAGAGCGTGGACTACCGTGGCCAAGTCAGACTTCCCAAGGTACGGGCGCAGCTGGCGCACAAGCTTTAGCTGTGCGAATGCTCCCCTGGTCACCGCCGAAACCTGGGGTTCCAGGCTCAGCGATGAGTCCAGGATCACACCCAAGCTGCGAACCTGCGTCTTCAGGGGGAGTGTGACCCCATCCAACACAGGCTGTAACCCTATGCCCTGTTCGGCCTTGTGACTGACCAGGAGTACCTCTGTCTTGTCTGGATTCAATTTCAATTTGTTCGCCCTCATCCAGACCGTTACAGCGGCCAGGCGGTTCAGGACTTCGACAGCCTCCTTAGTAGCAGGTGGAAAGGAGTGACAGAGTTGGATATCATCTGCGTACCTCGGGTGAGGTGGTAGTCCTTTGTGATATTATACATTTTTCTCAGGAGGAGGCAGTGGTTCACAGTATCATAGGCTGCTGACAGGTCTATGAAGACAGCTCCTGTGATCTGCTGCCTTTCAAAGCCATCTTCTATGTGCTGAGTCAGGTTCAACACTTGCGATGTGCAGCTTTTGCCTTTCCTGAAGCCAGCTTGCTGTGGGATCAGACATGGCTCTATTTTTTCCATAATTCTATGCAAAATAAGTCTCTCCAGAACTTTGTAGAGGTGGCACAACAGGGAGATTGGTCTGTAGCTTTTTGAGTCATTACGGTCTTTGCCTGGCTTCAAGATGGCGATGACTCTTGCTTTCCTCCAGATTTTGGGGATCTGACAGGATGCAGTGCAGTTGTTCATCAGCTCATCCCCTGTTTGGGTATCAGCCAGCCCGTCAACAACTTAAATCTAGAAATAGTTTTCTAAGATCTACAGAGACACTCGCTGGAACACCTGAGCAAGCATTTCTGTGTACTTAAATAATATGCTTTCAACAGAAAGGAGGAAACCATGAAAATGAACAAAATCTGGCTACCAGTAATAAAAAACTTTAAAATTATGACAGCAAAACAACACCCCAAAACAGGGAAACTCCAGAGAGGAAACAATCATGGACAACTAATCACCTCTCAACAAAATATTCCCCCAGGTACTAACAAGCCACATCAAAAAAACTGCCAGGCCATCAAATGCTAATCAAGGTGGCCAGTTGAAACATTCACACCTAGCTCCAACAGACAAGAGTTCTTTGTCCCACCCTGGTCATTCCACAGATATATAAACCCAATTTTCCTAGTTCCAACAGATGTCACTACCTCTGAGGATGCTTGTCATAGATGCAGGCGAAACATCAGGAGAGAATGTAGGTGAACTAAAAATCCCAGCAACTACAACTCCCAAATGTCAAGGTCTATTTTCCCAAACTCCGCCAGTGTTCACATTGGGCATATTGATATAAGTGCCAAGTTTGGTCCATAACTGTTGAGTCCACAGTGCTCTCTGGATGTAGGTGAACTACAACTCCAAAACTCAAGGTCAATGCCCACCAAAACCTTCAGTAGTTTCTCTTGGTCATGGGAGTTCTGTGTGCCAAGTTTGGCTCAGTTCCATCATCGGTGGAGTTCAGAATACTCTTTGATTGTAGGTGAATTATAAATCCCAGCAACTACAACTCCCAAATGTCAAGGTCTATTTTCCCAAAACTCCCAACAGTGTTCACATTTGGGCATATTGAGTATTCATGCCAACGTTGAGTCCAGATCCATCATTGTTTGAGTCCACAGTGCTCTCTGGATGTAGGTGAACTACAACTCCCAAACTCAAGGTCAATGCCCACCAAACCCTTCCAGTATTTCTCTTGGTTATGGGAGTTCTATGTGCCAAGTTTGGTTCAATTCCCTCATTGGTGGAGTTCAGAATGCTCTTTGATTGTAGGTGAACTATAAATCCCAGCAACTTATAATTTATAATATTATAATGTAATACAATATAATACTACTAATAATAATAATATGATATTATAATTATATATTTATATTGCATGTAATATTACTAATAATATTACAATATAATGGTACAATACAATATAGTAATATTATTTAATACTGATATTGTACTGTAATATGCTAATAATATAATATATTGTATGTATATATATCTTGTAAGCCACTCTGAGTTCCCTTTGGAGTGAGAAGGGCGACATATAAAAGTTGTAAATAAATAAATACAATTCCCAAATGACAAAATCACAACCTCTGAGGATACTTGCCATAGATGCAGGCGAAATGTCAGGAGAGAATGCTTCTAGAACATGGCCATATAGCCTGAAAAACTTACAACAACCCACTGTTTTTGTTTTGTTTTTTGCAAAACAAACAAACAAAAAACTCCAAACCTCTTTGACCTTTGGAGTGGAAGGCAGCAAGAAGAGGACTGAGATTCAGATTCTGGGAATTACCACTAGCAGTCTTTAACCTCTGGCACATAACAATGTGTATCTGAGTGTTTAAAAACATTATTTAAATCTAAGCAGGTTCTTTGCCTAAGCATGTGGTCACCATACTTAGACAGACAGGCAGCTTGAAGACACATGCACAAGATGTTTTCTGGCAAATTAGTGAACTGTACCATAGCCCATTTTAAAACATCTGTTCATTATTAATAATCACTATAAAGTGCCTCGTGTGTTTTAATTTTTCCTCTTTGTGTCCAGCGTTGACAATTTCTTCATTTTTGTTGCTAGCCCTTTCATCCTTTCTTCTTTTCTTGTTTAAAGAGTGAAAATGGGCAGACTCAAACTTAATCCAGCCCATGCATTTAGCAACATTTCTGAAGATGTAGTAAAAGTCGAGCTTGGATGTCACTCTTAAAAAGACTACATTACTGTTATCCTGTTCTCTGATTTCCTTTTTTGATAATTGCATTTTCTTCTTACTTGTTAAGTTATGTGTTAGTTTTTGTTTCTTTTTCTGGAGTGAACTATTAAAAAGGAGAGAGGAAACAGTTAAGTTTGGGGGGAAAAATATCAACATATCCCCTGAAATATTTTGTCTTGAAAAGGAGCTTGATAAAGTGGCAAGTACATGTTCCCCATTACAAAACAATGCCTCGTTACATTGGTTTGCAAATGAAACATTATTATACAGTAAAGCAGGGGTCCACAAACTTTTTAAACAAAGGTCACAGTCCCTCAAACTGTTGGAGGGCCAGATTATAATTTGAAAAAACCATGAATGAATTCCTAGGCACACTGCACATATCTTGTTTGTAGTGCAAAAAACACTTAAAAACAATACAATAATTAACATGAATAACAATTTTAAGAAATATAATTTAACTGATTTACGAGATCATAAAATCTCCAGGAAGTATGCAAAGAATGGGGAAGTACTTCATCAAAGTCACAAACAGACGGTGAAGCGACAGCTCCCCTGGTGGCCAGAAGTTAGAATGTTAAATAGCCTCTGTGTCTGTCTATATATGTTGTGTGTCTATGGCATTGATTGTTTGCCATGTATATGTACATTGTAATCCGCCCTGAGTCCCCTGCGGGGTGAGAAGGGTGGAATATAAATACTTATATTAATAATAAATAAATAATAAATAAACGTTTTAGTATTTCAATGGGAAATGTGGGCCAACTTTTGGCTGATGAGATAGGATTGTTGTTGTTGTGTGCTTTCAAGTTGTTTCAGACTTAGGTTGACTCTGAGCGAGGGCCAAGTAAATGACCTTGGAGGGTCGTATCCGGCCCCCAGGCCTTAGTTTGAGGACCCCTTCAGTAGAGCAATGTTTCTCAACCTTCCTAATGCCACGACCCCTTAATACAGTTCCTTATGTTGTGGTGACCCCACAATCATAAAATTATTTTCATTGCTACTTTACAACTGTAATTTGATACTGTTATGAATCATAATATAAATATCTGATTTGCAGGATGTATTTTCATTCACTGGACCAAATTGGGTACAAATAGCCCATACGCCCACATTTGAATACTGGTAGGGTTGGGGATTAATTCTGTCATTTGGGAGTTGTAGTTGCTGGGATTTATAGTTCACCTACAATCAAAGAGCATTCTGAACTCCATCAACGATGGAATTGAACCAAACTTGGCACACAGAACTCCCATGACCAACAGAAAATACTGAAAGGGTCTAGTGTGGGTGTTGACTTTGAGTTTTGGAGTTGTAGTTCATCTACATCCAGAGAGCACTGTTGTCTCAAACAATGATGGATCTGGAGCAAACTTAGCACGTAATGTGAACACTACTGGAGTGTGGGGAAAATAGACCTTGACATTTGGGAGTTGTAGTTGCTTAGATTTATAGTTCACTTACAACCAAAGAGCATTCTGAACCCCACCAACAATAAAATTGGGCCAAAGTTCCCACTCAAAACCCCCAAGACCAACAGAAAATATGGTGTTTTCTGATGGTCTTTGGCAACCCCTCTGAAACCACCTGGTGACCCCCTCAGGGGTCCCGACCCCCAGGTTGAGAAATGCTGCAGTAGAGTCTCCCTTATCCAACATAAATGGGCTGGCAGAACGTTGGATAAGCGAAAATGTTGGATAATAAGGAGGGATTAAAGAAAAGCTTATTAAACGTCCAATTACATTATGATTTTACACATTAAGCACCAAAACATTATGTTTTACAACAAATCGACAGAAAAGGCAGTTCAATAGACAGTAACATTATGTAGTAATTACTGTATTTACTAATTTAGCACCAAAACAGACAAGGGTTCTTTCTTTCTCCCATCCTGGACATTATTCCACAGGGAAATATACACTCCACTTCCCTCACCTGGGGACCTGGATGGGGGGAAGACTGCGTTGGATAATACAGAATGTTGGATAAGCAAAGGTTGGTTAAGCGAGACTCTACTGTAATTTTATTAGGTAGGAAAAGTAACATGCTACAAGGTAACGTATTTATTTGCAATGTGTTACTTTTAAGTTCTGGGTAGATGTACTTCAACCTCTGGTGGTGCAGTGGGTTAAACTGCTGAGCTGCTGAACTTGCTGACCGAAGGGTTGGCAATTTGAATCTGAGGAGCGAGGTGAGCTCCCACTGTTAGCCCCAGATTCTGCCAACTTAGCAGTTCGAAAACATGCAAATGTGACTAGATCAATATGTACCACTTCTGCAGGAAGGTAACGACGCTTCAGGCAGTCATGCTGGTCACATGACCTTGGAGGTGTCTACGGACAACACCGGCTCTTTGGCTTAGAAATTGAGATGAGCACCACCACCCCAGAGTCAGACATGACTAGACTTAATGTCAGGGGAAACCTTTGCCTTTAGCTTATATTTCTTTACCTGAACACAATATTGCTGACTCATTATTATGCTATGTAACACAATTTGATCTGTTCCTGGTTTGAAAGTGTTATTTCCTGTTTAATTGTGCAGTACTTACTTTGATAGCAGTTGTTATACTTCAGAAACTTTGTTTTTGTGGCTGACATAAACTGTGTTGAATTGGTTGAGACCCAATGAGATACTCATTGAAAAACTTTAGCAAAATGTGCTGCAGGATGTCCCGCAAAAAAGTTTAATAAACCTTTTCCATGTTTTTATGATAGAAGCAATTAGGAAATGACGTTTATAACCTAGGAACAAAAACAGTGTTACATAGTGTTGTTGTTGTCGTTGTTGTTATCATTATATCCTACTCAAGGCAACTAACAATAAGAAATCAAACAATTGATAAAGTTATAGTCATCAAAATGTAAAAATATTAAACTTAATTAAAAGATAACATGCAAACCTTAAAATTGCATAAATCCCTTCAGTGATCCTTTAACTAACTATGGATTATTATTACCTTTGTAACTATATAAGGATGAACGTTTAGTTTTAAGACATTTCCCATCAAGGTTGCAGCTTTATTTATTTTGTTATTTCAGGTAAAAGGAACGTCGTTACTGAAATCCATGGGACCATCCTGACAATTGGCATTAACAGGCCAGAAGTCAGGAATGCTGTGAACCAGGAAACCGCCAAGTTGCTAGTCCAGGCTTTCAGGTCATTTGAAGAGGACCATTCCCTGACTGTAGCCGTGCTTCATGGATTGGGTGAGACAAGGCTTCCTCCAATGTTACATTTTAAAAAACTGTACCAGTAAGGTATTTGCACATAAACTGATTCATTTAGTCTTCCTCCTATTCCCCGATGTGCCTTTCAGCTAAAAATGAGCCCTTCTGTCTTGTCTGAATTAAGATTCTTTGTCTTGCCAATTTACCAGCTGTTAGAATTTTTGGAAGTCGAAGGCCAAAATATCTGGGGACCCACAGGTTGAGAACCACTGATTTATTTATTTATTTATTATTTACTGTATTTATATACCGCCTTTCTCAACCCAAAGGCAACTCAAGGAGGTTTACAATCTGCACAATTCGATGCCCCCAACAACATAAAATACAATTTAAAAACATTTAGCAAATAATGTAAAAACCATACAAAACCAATAAAAACAAATCCTCGGCGTCTCCCTACTAACATCATTTTCCAATTCACATTGTCCAGTCGTTCCATAGATCTATATTTGCCTGTTATACTGCATTTGCAAATGCTTGCTCATAAAACTAGGTTTTAACTTTTTAACAAAATGTTAGGAGGGAGGGGGCCGAGCTAATATCACTAGGGAGTACTTTCCGCAGCTGAGGGGCCACCACTGAGAAGGCCCTGTCTCTCATCCCCGCCAAACGCATCTGCGAAGAAGGCGGGACCAAGAGCAAGGCTAGCACTTTGAATTGTGCCCAGTAGCAGACAGGCAGCCAGTAGAATTGGAGCAACACAGGAGTAGTATGCTCCCTGAGTGTCACTCCTTTTAGCAATCTGGCTGTGGCCCATTGGACCATTTGGAGTTACCGAACAGTCTTCAAAGGCAACCCCATGTAGAGTGCGTTGCAGTAGTCTATATGGGATGTAACCAGAGCGTGGGCTACCATGGCCAAGTCAGACTTCCCAAAGTACAGGCACAGCTGGCACACAAGTTAATTTATCTTATCCATTGAAGCTGAGAGATCACCACAGGCTCAAATACTTTATCCAGAAAATATATGGTGGAAACTGGGTGTTTTCTGTCAAATGCAGTGGGCTCCAACAATTTTCTTATAGGAGCCTCATTTAGGTATGTTGGAACCCTTCCTTATTAAAGCAGTATATTGACCACTTCCTCTGGACTTTTTAATAAGGTGAAAAGGACAAAGGTTTAGCCCACATGTGATTGCTCTCATTTCCTGTCCATCTCCTTGGCATGTGGCTGGGTTTACATCATTAATAAGAAACTTTTATCCAAGGAAGGGAATAGGAATGTGATAGCAGCAGAAAGTCAGAAGTACAGTGACTATAATCAGGCATAGAAAAATGGGATGGGTGGAGATATTATTGAGGGTGGAAATGGAACATTTCCAGCCTCTTGGAAAACAGTACTTTTAACCAGAAAGCTAAAATGGGAAAACCATTTGGCACAGTCATTATAAAATCGACTCTAGTGATAAGAGAGATCGGGCCCCATGTTTAAATTACACAGTTGCAGCAATTTAATGTGACAGTATAATGCATTTTCTGGGGGGAAATCAAAGCAGACCTGGACTTCTATTTCCTTCCTCTGACCCTGCCTGCAAATAGCTGGTCAGTCTTAACTATTTTGTCCTGTAATTACTATGTTTATTTCACTGATAGAGGAAAAGTGGATTCGGTTGAAATGAAAAACAGATGCATTACTGGTTTTCTGAGGGAAACAAGTCAAGATTATAGTCGGAAACCTTCTTAAAAATCTGTATTTATATTTTGAAGCTTTGTTCTCCCTTCCCTCCCTCTGCAAAAGATGTGTATACATAAGATTATTTATAGAACTGTGATTTGATTGCGAAAATTATAGCATTGGGCCATGACTCTAGAACAGGGGTCCCATCTGTTAAAGACATATCTGGGTGATGCCTGTTTTGTGGCCTTTCAGGCTCTGGGAGAGTCCGTGAGTTGATTTCCGTACAGTTGCAGAGCTGGATGTTAAAGTAAACACTGTGGGCACGCCAGCGCTTTGGTTTTCATCGTGGTGGTACAGTCAACAGCAGTTCTTTCTTCTGTTTCCAACGCACACAAAAGTAATGATTCCTCCGCTGCACAAGAAGAGTCCCGAATTAGCTCTTTGTGCAATGGAAGAAGAAGGAAAAATGACTTGATGATAAGGGTTGACACAGAGGACATGCTGGCTAGTTTTTGGAATCGTTTGCAATAAATTCTTTGAGGTGGTTAAAACAGTTTTCTAATTTGAAAAACAACAACAACAGTTTTTAAATTGATAAATGCAGACCTCCAGTGTGCCTTCCTTGGGATTTTGTTTTTGAAACGATTACAATGACACTCTGAAATGGAACGGACTAGTTGCATCTTTCTCCACACCCACAGTTTTTGGTGTCTCATTGTTGCATTGAAGATTAAAAACCTAATGCCATGAAATTGGCCGGCTGAGTCCAATTAATGTGTAATTTGTTCCTTCTTGCTTCCTTAGGATTGCCTAAGGGGTGAGGCACTGGGAACAATGAGACACTGGGAACAAAAGTCATGAGTGGCAGAAGTCCACATTTATTCATTTTTTGTATACATGCTAATACTTCATTGTCATTTTGAGGCATTAGATTTTCGTTGGCTGAAAAACTGTGATGGATGGATTGTCCACACTCATTCCAACTGTACAGGTATCAGCATTTCTGGAACAATGCAGCACAGCTTCCAGAAAGTTGTTCCACAGGGACAATAAGGGCCTCTGTTCATGGAACAAGATTTTTTTCCGGGCCCTTTGGTGCGGGGTGTCCTTGGATAAAATGATCTACTTGTAAAAAGCCAAGGAAATACCTGAAGAGTGACATGTTTGTTAACCTAGAATAATGTGATGAAAGGGGATGACAAGTTTGCTTTAATGGGGGAGGGGGGAAGGCGGGGGGCGGGGAGGAATCAGATATTCATGAGTTCATCTTGGCTTTCTGAGCCCTGGACTGATGTACTTATGCAAGCATGACAAAACTTATGCTAGCAGCCTGTTGTAACCCAGAGCAAGAACATCTCTGTACCTTACCACCACACCACTCCAATCTACACAGGGCCCACACCTGGAAAAAACCGGGTCTTTCCAGGTATCAGATTAATTTGGGACAAAGCAGAGTTTTCCTACTTTATCTTGAATTAATTTGCTTTTACCTGAGGCATCATTTGGTTGTCATTTGGACGCTTCAGGTAAAAACATGGGAAGTTGTGCATTTTCCATGCTGAAGCATCATTTGGACACCTCTAGTAAAAGCGTGGGAGGTAAAGCATTTTTCATGCTGTGTGGATGCTTCCTCACGGTTGTTGTGTATCAGTATCTAGATTCTGGAATATGCTTGGGACTTGCTGAGATCCAGCTGCATGCACTGGTAGGAACTTATGCAAGCATGACAAATTCGTATTTTTACCATGGACTTATAAAAATTAAAGGTGAAGAAATTATTGGCCTAAGATCAACTGTTAATGCCAACTAGAAGAGACCTGTTGAACCTGTTGGAATAATGTCAATAAGCATTAATGTAAGTTCCATTGATTCAGTGCTTCTCATTTAGACTAATAATTGGGTTTATCCCAGGCATAGGCAAACTTCGTCCCTCCAGATGTTTAGGACTTCAACTCCCAGGAATCCTAGCTAGATTACTGGCTGTTAGGAATTGTGGGAGTTGAAGTCCAAAACACATGGAGGGACGAAGTTTGCCCATGCCTGGTTTAGCCAGAGGGGGGAATCATATGGCCTTTCAGATCTTGTTTGACAGCAATTCCTAGCATTCCAAATGTAACTGCAACCTAAGACTGTTGGAACTTCAGTTCCAACAGGTATGTTGGATGGCCAAATTATTTCTACCCTGAATTTAGGCCATTATATGTTGAGTGGTAAGATAAGGACATGAAGAATTGTCTTGTTTGGGCAGGCTGAGGCAGTCTTGTTGGATCACAAAAGTGTACAGTCCCCTAGTTTCAAATAGTGTTCAGCCACATGTGTTGGAAACTCATATTCAGAGGACTGCATTTGACCCAACAATGAGCCGTGTTCCCTTGGTGCATTAAGACAAATTCCATTTAGTGATTAGCTGTCCCTTCTCAGTTCATGTCTGCCAAATGGAACACATGTTTCTGAATAGAAGAAAAATGTCTCCCTTTTAAAGGGCAGTTCATTTCTTAACCAAAACAGAACAAAACAAAATGGGGTGGGGTGGGGTGGGGTAGAATGGACACCCACACTTTTTATTTTCCCATCTGCTAACTTTCCCATCACTCATTTCTTCTGGTGTTTTGCAGGAGGAAATTTCTGTGCTGGTTATGATTTGAAGGAGCTGGCTGACAACCCAAGCTCAGTCAAATTGGAACAAGATGTCACCAAAGGTCCTGGTCCCATGGTATGTTCTGGGAAATAGACTGGGGGGAAATCCCAGCAATGCTGTGAAAGTCCAGTTCTGTAGCTATGCTGTGCTTCACTATGGAAACTAGTAACACATTTCAGCTAAAGGAAAGGAGAGGAAGAAATAATAACATTGTCATTTCTCCAAGGGCCCTTCCACTCAGCCCTATATCCCAGAATATCAAGGCAGAAAATTCCATATTATCTGAGTGTGGACTCAGATAACCCAGTTCAAAGTGGATATTGTGGGATTTTCTGCCTTGATATTCTGGGATACAGGGCTGTGTGTAAGGACCCCATGAGAAACTGAAATCAAATGGGCTTAACTTCCAAATTAAAAGTTATATTTTGATTCAAAGTAACCCTTGCAATTATTTGTATTGTTCACTATATTTTCTATTAAGGTGTAAAGAAACTAGATCACAGTCTACTGGGAGATCTCTGGATAATTTGCCATGGACAATTCAACATATTGTATTTTCTGGCATATAAGACTACTTTTTAATCAAATGCTGAAACTTCCATGCTGGACTGGAGAATCTGTGGTCGCCGCATATGGTAGGGGGGACTCAAAAATGGCCACATCCCTGGCGTATGCGGTGACCTTATAAAAGCAGCAAGGGCGATGCTGTACAAGTATGGTAGAAGAAAATCCACTCACCAGGATTCAGGGAAATAAGTTACTTAACATAGTCCCAATGATGAGGTGGGGAGGCGCCTCACTGGGAAGGTGTAAGTGAAGGGTGGAGCAAGTTGCAGGCATCCGGGATGCCCGGGGTATAGAAAAAAGAGATAGAGTGGCACTGTGGCCAGAAAAACACGCCTCTTTCACCTGTCTGGCCCACCCTTGTATCTTATTACCGTACCTCCTTCTATGTCACTCAGATCTTGCTCCTGAGGACTGCAGTGAAGTGGTAGAGGCATGCATGTGCGAAATCTGAGAGACAGAGAAGGAGGTACGGTAATAGGAAAATTAGCATATTGCAATGCTCTCAATTGAGGCTACCCTTGAAGAATATTTGGAAGCTTTGCCTAATAGTTTTGTTAGTTTTGCTTTAGGGCAACTGTGAGTCATAAATAACTTGAAGGCACATAACAGTAACAAAGCTTAAAGGGAGAGAGGGAAAGGGGGCATGATGCTTTGCATGATACAAACCACCTTGAATCTCAATTTGTGGGAAAAGAAAGAGTACATAAACACAAATAATGCAATATATTTGCTAAATTGCAAAAAGTTCATGGGAAATGCAGCAACAGAGTTTTGTACTGTGGGACTGTGGCCTCATTTTTGGTACTCTGAGATGAACCAAAAGCTATTCCCTTTTAAAATTTTAATTGTATGCTCATTCCGCTTTCTGAGTCGTATTCAGAATTGAAGAGAAAAGCTTATGGAGATGTTTAAAGTATTAAGTCTTTATGGGATCAGAATCCCCCAGACTTACTAATGTATGAATTGGAACATGATTATCCTTTCCATAATCCTTAGGGCTCTGTGCTTCTCTGGATTTTGCAATCCACGTCTTGTCTCAAAAACACAGTTTAAAATAAAAATTCCATCTACAAACTCCCTTTATAAAAAATGAATTTTAAAACAGGTATATTGTGAGAATATGTTTTAAATAGTTACCCAAAATCCAGTTGCTAATCCCAGCCAGAGGAGGTTAATGTTAACAGTCAGCCGTTGATTGAATGGATCCACCAATAATATTTGGGGCAATCTGCCAATTTAATTTTTTTCCAGTTTTTCCAATCCTAACTTTCATTTGTTTTGAAGTTTGAGAATTTTTTAAGTTGATAGTAACATGTTTTGTACATTCCTTTTTATGTGTGCATTTTAATGTGTTATGTATTAAAATTTTAATACAGATTTTGCTAACGTACACATAACATGTACACACTTTTAAAAATGGACTACATTTTAAACATTACTTTCATTAATACATTTTCCTGTGAATTATACCCAATAGGTACTTCCAGGTATTCATTAACTGCAAAATTTGGAGAGGTGTGAATTTCATAAGATGTTTACATTTCATTTTGGCTCTTAGTTTGAAAATGCAAAATGATAGATTCCCATTAAAAGATATACTGATATAAACTTAAAATAATAAGATTATTAAGAATAGCTTTGGCGATGACTTAATTATCACAGATGTATTAAGAATATGTTACTTTCTAAAGCATAATAAGACCCTAAAGTCTTACAAAGAGCAGTACAGAATAAAACATTATACTAACACAAACAGATACTCCTACTTTGTACTATGCTTCTTGCAACATATTAATATTGCGTTGTGTCTCATTTGTCCCCTTAAATAATCTTAGATTGGATAGTGTCTTTGGTTTGTGATGCAAAGCAGCAAGTCCTTGTCTTTGCTTGTTGCCTCTTTTTATCCTCTATTTGCACATATTTAAATAAAATAAAGAAAAAATGTGCCCCTGAAATTTCAATTTGGGAACAAGTTTGATCAAATTCTGGGACTTACATGTGAACAGACATGTCATTGACTGCATTATAAATTACACTATGTAACATAATTAGAAAAAAATCTGTTCCTGGTTTGAAAGTGTTATTCCTGTTTAATTGTGTGGTACTTAGTAGTTGTTATATTCTAGAAACTTGGTTTTCGTGGCTGCCATATACTATGTTGAATTGGTTGGTACTTTGTGAAATACTCATGGTAAAACTATAGCAAAATGTGCTGCAGGGTGTCCCACAAAAATAAAGTTTTACAGTTTAACAAACTTTTTCCATGTTCTTATGATAGAACCAATTAGGAAATGACATTTATAACCCAGGAATAAAAATCATGTTACATAGTGTTATCTTTCTTCTAATAGGATCTCATTGCTATGCCTTGGAACTTTAACTTTTGGAACAAGTGGAGAGTGTGCACAAGTATCGTAATTTTAGCTAACATGACCCATATCACTAGGACAGACAGTGGGTTCTAACCATATGTATTTAAAGCATCAATATTTATCAGTGTGTATTCTAAATATACAGGGTCCTTCTAGGATGACTTTTTCGAAGCCAGTGATCGCTGCAGTAAGTGGGTATGCTGTGGCTGGTGGACTGGAGCTGTCTCTCTTGGCTGATCTACGTGTTGTGGAAGAAAGTGCTGTTTTGGGAGTTTTCTGCAGGCGTTTCGGTATGTTTTATGATTTGTTTCTTTAAATAAATCAGTATTTTCATTTCAGCTTTGGGCTTTAGAATAACAGGTTAACTGCCAGCTGCAGTAAATCTTGCCAGTCCAAAGGTTGACAGTTCAGAGCCCAGGTCAGGGTGAGCTCCTGGCCTTTAGCCCAGCTTCTGCCTACCTAGAAGTTTGAAAACAAATGTGAGTAGATAAATGGGTACTGCTTTAAAACGGGGAGGTATTTAAGGCACCCATAAGGCAATGTGTTAGGGATTCCTCATCTTCAGAAGAGGAAGGGGAGCAGGAAAGTGTTCAGGAGTTAGAGGGGGAATTGGAATCAGAGGATGAGGTCTTGCAAGTGCCCACATTTCTGGAAAGGCGAAAGGAAACAGAACACAGATTGCGTTCAGCTAGAATAGCCGCTAGAAATGCCAAGGTAATTGGGAGCCGCCCTAGCACCTCCTGCGTGGGGAATTCAGAGCTATAAATCAGAAGCAGGAGCATTAGCTTTCACTGGTAACACAGGACTCTGATGCTCATGTCTTCACTCCAATTATACCTGCTTCAAGGATTTAGTGATCATTGCCCATTGTCTAATGTAAGACTGCCGTTTATTTTGGACTTTATCAGAGATTTGAGTTTTGTGTCTGCATTAAGACTTCCTTGCTTTCTTTTGCATGCGCTGTTCTCTTGTGTTTGCTGAAGTGAAACATTTTTCATTTACTTTCAATGTGGTATTAAGAGTGTTCTTGAAGGGCAAATTAGGACAACATGCCAGAAAAATGCTGGTGATTCAATCAAGGAGAAAAACAAAGCTCTTCAGCAAGGAAGAGGGAGCGACAGCACCCCCCATGGCTGGAACTGGGTACAGCCTCCAAGATGCCAAAGTTGGGAAAACCTATTTATACCTCTATGTACAGTTGTCTGTCTTCTCAGTATATAACAGCATTGAATGTTTGCTGTACATGTGTTCTGTGATCCACTCTAAGTCCCCTTGGGAGTGAGAAGGGTGGAATATAAATACTGTAATTAAATAAAATAAATGAATTATTATACCTTGGTAAAATTTAAAACCATAGCCATGTTAGTCTGGAATATCATGATGTAAAGGGATTTTGTATTGTCTTTGAGACTGAGAAAACAAAGTTGGTAGCATAAGCTTTCATAGACTGCCATATATACTCCTGTGTAAGTCAACCTCCAAGTTGAGATCAGGTTTTAGGGGCAAACTTATGGATTATGGCCCATGGATACATTGAGGGTTATTTTGCAGAGTAGGGAAAGCACCCATGCCTCTTTAGGGGCCAGCTACTATTTCTTTGCACAGACAATAAAAAGCCAAAAATGACACTATAATGGAGGGTGTATGCGTTATTGGTGCTTCCTTTGGGTTCTCCCAGGTTGGAGTGTGCTCTTGCCTTTCATCATGCTACTCAGAGAAGAGGAAAGTTCCTTCCTTCAAAAGAGTCAGGTTTTATGGGCTGATTTTTTTTACTAAAATGCCTAGACATATACACCTATAGGGTAAGTTCTTCCTCAGGTATATGAGGTGAGTAGTGCCTAGGAAAGAACTTTCATGAATAGACTATGAATAGCCATAGAAATGTAAAACCTGTGGATGTGGTGATTGCCTCATGCATCTTAGACATCTACAAAAGCTTATGCTGCAACTTTTTTCTCAGGGCCCTTCCAGACAGCCCTTATATCTCAGGATCTGATCCCAGGTTTTCTGCTTTAAACTGGATTATTTGAGTCTACACTGCCAGATAATTTGGGATAAACATAAAACCTGGGATCAGATCCCGGTATATAGGGCCTGTTTGGAAGGGCCCTTAGTCTAGATAAGGTGAAGTTTGCTTCAAATGTACTGGTCTGTCTTTTTAGGTGTTCCATTAATAGATGGTGGCACTGTGAGACTACCAAAGCTAATTGGTTTGTCACGAGCGATGGATCTCATTCTAACTGGGCGACCTGTTAATGCACAAGAAGCATATCAGTTTGGACTGGCGAATCGAATAGTTCCCAATGGCCAAGGTCAGTGCCGGATCATTTTTAGTTGCTGACTTTCAAACTATGCACAAAGTCAACCAGGATGGACATCGGCAAATCCTATGTTTTATATCACATGCCTTAGTCGTTTGTGTTTTTGTTTCAGTGAAGTCAATGATTTATTTACATCCCACCTTTTTCTAATCCAGGACTCAAGGAGGCTTGCAAAATGTAAAACATGTAAAGCTAAAAGAATGCATATCACACCAAAGTTAAAAAATATAATTAAGTATTAAAATTAAAAGCAATTAAAATACTTAGCCATTAAAAAGAAGAACAAATATAAACAATGCAGTGCTGAGAGAACCTTTTCTCCTGAGCACTTAACTCTCAAAGGCCTGTCAAAGCAAAATGATCTTCACCTGCCTATGAAAGGATAACAAAGGGGCTGCCAGTCTAAAATCTTTTAGGGAAGGTCCTCTCCTGTGTTCCTATCAGATGTACCTCTGGAGGTGATACATCAAAGGACCTACCTGGAAGATCATCACATAACCTGGAGCTAATTCACACTGCATAATTATAGTGCTATTATTCTGCTCTAACTGCCATAGTTCCAACCTATGTACATCAAGCTTGTATTTTCTGAAGCATTGGAGCACTCTGGCTGACAAGTCTAAATTTGTTGTTGTATATCTTCACTTGGTTTCCAATTTATGGCAACCCTAATGTAAACATATTGCAGGATTTTGGGTGAGTCACGCACACTCAGTGCAAGAAAACCCCATGATAGGATCCTACCATGAGTAGGAAACGGCTTGAAGGCATACAACAACAAACAAGGTTTTTGTATGGTGGATAAATCATGCACATGCTGTTGTTAAATAATAGAGTACAGGGGAGATGATATTTGGTAAGACTGTTGCAGAACTAGGACTACATTCATGTTCAAATATTATTTTGAGAGACTGAAAGAAAGGTACCTTTTAGTGTAAGAGGATATTTTAGTGTAAGTGGGTATTGAAGATACTACTACACAATCTTACAAGTTAGTTTACTCATATACTACACCATACCCCACCTTGTTTATTAGGCCTAGGAATGTGAAAAGGGAGCAGGGCAAATCCCAGTTCCTATCCATATAACTAAAACTTCGCTGTTGGGTTGCTTAGGGAGTTTTGTTGACCGTATTAATTTGCCACACTTATTAATTAATCACAGGCAGCCTGCTGGCTGGAGGATTTAGGGAGCAGTAGTCCAAAAAAGTAACTTTTCCAAGCTTTATTTATGCCTCTGACAATTGGCAGCTCTTTAAAAACGTCATTGCATTTAAAAGCCAGAGGCTGGATTTTCAAAATGAGAGAGTTTGACAACATGGAAATAATATTTCTTCCAATAACAAGGGTGTGTCCCTCCACAAAAACACATTCCTGCTGTGAACCTTTGACCACTGAGAAGGAACTACGTCCATAAGGTAAATGTATACAACAGGCTGTCTGACCTTTCTGCTGAGTTTTCCTGTAGAAAGAAGATGCTAGGAAACAGGCCTTTTGCCTCTTTCTGAATTGGCATGTAAACTGGTTTCAAAGCTGCTTTGATTCAGCTCAGATTGGTGTGTCTGCAAGATTTCTTAGGTCTATGAACAATACAATGGCAGCATGCACTTCATATCTCAGTGCAAAACAGGCTTTGGAAACTGTTGGGAAAGCTGTTAGTGTTGTAGCAGAAGGGTGGCAAAAATTAACAGGATTGAAGAGTTTTGTTTTTTTAAAAAGGACTTTCTATGCATATTTGTGTTTGTCAATTAATTATGTTATTTTGATCATGGAAATGTAATGGGATGAAGATGAGACAGATCATTTGTGGCACAGTAGGTTATTTAATCCTGGCTGAAGCTGTCTCTGTTCTTCAAATCCAAGAAGTGACTAATGTCTCTGCAGACTTGCTGTCCATTCCTTTTTTGCATTCTGATATCCGGATTCCTTGTAAAAAATATGGCTGTTTTATTTGGCACCAGGGAGATATATTTTGAAAGAAATCTGAATGAAACCTGTTTTGTTTACACTGAACTAGGGATGTTCAACAGCCTCCCCCCTTCCCAAACTGGGTTAGATACACTTCCCCAAAAACATTTTTGCCTGTTTTCAGTGCCAGAATTAAACATTGATGTTTGGCTATTTGTTTAACAAGTTTGAGATGGAAGAGGATGTGTTTTAATGTATAAAGAACTGTCAGGTTAATTTAAAAAAATGTCCTCTCAGAAGTAAGTGCCAGAGAATTCAGTGGGGTTTAGGCGTGAGCTTCCGCTGTCAGCCCCAGCTTCTGCCAACCTAGCAGTTCGAAAATATGCACATATGAGTAGATCTATAGGGACCGCTTCCACAGGAAGGTAACGGCGCTCCATGTAGTCATGCTGGCCACATGACCTTGGAGGTGTCTACGGACAACGCCTGCTCTTTGGCGTAGAAATGAAGATGAGCGCCAGCCCCCACAGTCAGACACGGCTGGATTTAATGTCAGGGGAAAATCTTTACCTTTACACTTACTCTCAGGTAAATGGATGAAAGATTGTACTGGAGGATTTTCCACACTTTGGACCTTGTGCCTGTCTTGGTATATATCTATAATAAAGTAAAATTATACTATTAAGCACTTACAGTTTAGGATTAACGATTTCATTAATGGTCAGCATGATCCAGCACATTATAATGATTTAGTATTGGACTATGACTCTGGAGACCAGAGTTTGAATCTCTGCTTAGCCATTAAAACGTAGAGAGTGTTGTTGGACAGGTCACATAATCTTAGCCTCAGAAAGCCGCATGATATGGTCACATTCGTGTTTGCAATAAATCAGAAAAAAATATGAAAGGCACACAACGGTAACAACATATTGGTGGGGGGAGTAACATGTCTCAAATCACTTATGAAGAACAGAGTGCCAGCCCAAGTTCAAGGACTTTGGACATTGCCATGGTTGACCTTTTGTTTGAACTATTAAACAAACATGCCTGGCCCTGGCAAATCCCTGTGTCCAGCTTTTTATCTCTTGGGAGATTTTTGGAATAATGTTTCAGCAAAATGTTTGCACTTGCCTGTGTTGCTGTTAGTCCTGGACAGCTGGTTAAGCAATAACACCTTTTATCTTGTTGTGGTCTGTCTTTCGATGGTGAGATAGATTTTATTTCTCATTAGAGTCATTCTCTATCATTAGAATTATTTCAAAGCTCTCAGTATACATCTACATTGGAAAATCTGTCTCCTTTTTGTGGTGTATGTGTGGGATGCATTTGACATTCCCCAGTCTATATAATCCATGTATTAGGCAGAACATTGCTTCCTCTGCCTATCCCTCACATAGCCACCTATCAAAATAACAGGAGGACACTCCTATATCTCAGTGATGAAACCCAGATGTTATTGAACTGTAACTCTCATTATTACTCACCCTTGGATATGCTGGCTTGTGCTGAGAGATGTACTCAAACAACATCGGGAATACAGTGTGATTCCCATGCTTGTTAGTTTGCCAATTCAGGAATGTCCCAGGTCCTGAGGTTTCCACACCAAAACCTGACACCCAAAGGCAGTTGCTAATGATGCTGTTAAGTGTTGTGTATCACAGTTGTTGAAAGCCTAACATTCAAACACACACACACACCACACATGGGGCAGGCCCTGAGATTTAGTAACGGTATAGATAAACAGAGAGAGAAAGACACACACAGGGAGAACATTGCCCATACCATTGTTATTTCTGTGTGTATGTCTGATTATGATAACTGGATAGTAAAGAAAATTGATAGAAAGAAAATAAAAATATGCTGGAGAAGAATTCTACAGATACCATAGATTGCCAAAAAGATAAACAAATTGGTATTAGAGCAAACTGAGCTCAAACTCTCCCTAGAAGCCAAAATTATTAAACTGAGGCTGTTGTACTTTGGCCATATCATGAAAAGAGATATGGCATGAGCTCCCGCTGTCAGCCTTAGCTTCTGCCAACCTAGCAGTTCAAAAACATGCAAATGTGAATAGATCAATAGGTATCGCTCCTTTTGGCGGGAAGGTAATGATGTTCCATGCAGTCATGCTGTCCATATGACCTTGGATGTGTCTATGGACAACGCTGGCTCTTCGGCTTAGAAATGGAGATGAGTACCAACCCCTAGAGTCGGACATGATTGGACTTAATGTCAGGGGAAAACCTTTACCTTTATCTTTAAAGTAGAGGACATTAGGAAAAGGGGAAGACCACATTTCAGCTGGATAGATTCAATCACAGAAACCATGACATTGAGTCTATAAGACTTGCGGAGGGCTGTTGAGAATAGGGTGAGGTCTCTCACCCATGAGGTCACCATAAGTCAAAGTTGACTTGATGGAAGTTAACAACAACAAATATGAATTCTTACTCAGCAGCACGTCCTTGGGAATTCCATGAGATTTTCCAGATCAAAAAATAATAGAGTTGGAAGGGGGCCATCTAGTCCCACTCTCTGCCATGCAGAGAGAAATCATGTAACATGTCAACCGCATGTGGTCCTCTTCGTTGTTTTTTTTTTAAAAGAAGGCCAACCATCCCTTAAAAACAAAACTCAAGAGGATCACACCACTCAAAGCCTCCAGGGGGCAGTCTTCTTCTATGAAACAGGGGTCACACTTTTGCTCCAGAATTGCTGAATGTTAGTTTGATCCATGACTAACAATGCGCTTCAGTAGCCCAGAATTTAGCCAGTTTTTTCCCTAATGCCTTATCTGAGAATAAACTCACAACTCAGTTGGCTGTGTTGATCCTAATAAACAGACAGGAAATCTGATGACCCACCTGCATGTTGTCTAGAACTGTTCTGACTCATTGTTTTGCAGAGCCTCTAATGTCACATTTTAAAAAGAAACGAATTACATTACCATTACCCTGATTACTCAACAGGCCCAACTTGTCACTTATTACTGAATCCTGAAATGACTCTCTGAATTGCTCATGATTATTGCATTACCTTTATACCACTATTTTTTTCATGTCAGGAGCAACTTGAGAAACTGCAAATTGCTTCTGGTGTGAGAGAATTGACCATCTGCAAGGATGTTGTCCAGGGGACACCCAGATGTTTTGATGTTTTACCATCCTTGGGGGAGGCTTCTCTCATATTACCACATGGGGAGCTGGAGCTGGCAGAGGGAGCTCATCCACACTCTCCCCAGATTCGAACCTGCGACCTGTTGGTCTTCAATCCTGCCAGCACAAGGGTTTAACCCACTGCACCACCGGGCACGCCTATACAGTAAAACCCTTTCCTAATTCCTTTGGTTTTTATTATCTTGGCTCCCTCCCTAGACTTCTTCCCTTCAACCACATGGGTTCACAAGACAGAACATATGACTGTCATGTGCTTTGTATACAGATGCTTTGGGTGGACTTGCAGAAGTCCTACTTTCAGTCCTTTTTCCTTTTCCATTGTCCTTCCGCCAAATCAGTTGCTCTACATTAGTGGGTTTTTTTTATTACTAGGAACCAGTTTGACTAGGGACCACTTGACCAGGGACCACTCTCCAACATTACTACCAAAAGGGTTACAAATTGGTCAACTTTAGATTTAGTTTGGTTATTTGGGGTGCTGATTCAGATAATTGCATTGGACATCAACTCTAGTTTCTGATACAGAATATAGTCGCCATCTGCTTGCCCAGAGAAAACCATATTTAATAAGCCTCAGCACTATAAGAGGGTTTCGCGAGACCAGTCATTCTTGTTGCAATGTCACAGCCTTTGCAGTAAAATTCCAATTTATCAGATTATGTAGTATAATATTTTCACATGTGGATGTCTCTATCAGCCAAAATATGAGTTATTTTCCTAAACTGGAGAATCTCTTCAGTCTTGCACACCAAAAGATTTGCTTTCAAGTTGATTGTAGGAATGACTCGTCGAAAGAGGAGTCTGCTTGTTGTTGCATTGCTACATACCACACTAACTTCAAAAGGAAGCTCGTCTAGAACTAAGACTCAAGCAAAGATTAAATAGGTTGTCTCTTGATGTCTTCTGCACCTTGTTTTTAAAGTTTGGTGGAAGCTTTCAGGAGATATATTTTTCATTTTAATGTCCATTTTGGTTGAATGGGAGGGATGTCTGAGAGGGACCTGGATGCTGTAAAACTGGCCATGGGGTCTATGAATATATATCAATTCTCCCCACCTTTCTTGGATTAATTACTTGTGTTACACTTTCTCCCTACTTTTTGAAACACACTATTTCTCTTGTTTTGCAGCCCTTCAGTGTGCCATTGAACTGGCAGAACAAATTTCAGCATTTCCACAGCAGTGTATGCGTGGAGACAGAACCTCTGCTTACTACAGTACATTTGATGCTTCCTCATTCTCTGAAGCCATGCAGTATGAGTTTGACACAGGAATGCAGGTGATATTAAAGGAATCAGTTCCTGGTGCTAAGAAATTCACCTTAGGACAGGGGCGCAGTGGGTCAAAACTGTAAGGAGTTGAATTTAATCTTTGATTATAAACGTATGACATCATTACTGACTTTTAAAACTTTTGCTGCAATGACCAAGTAATGAAACATCCCTTGTTCTAAGACTACAACTCCCAGAGTCTCCCAGTTGGCATGTTCATCATCTCTACAGGCTGGATATTCTGGGATCTACAAAATAACTTTCTCAAGTTTAGCATGCAGTAACCATATATATCTCATGAAAATGTCGATTTTTTAAACATTGTTGTAAGTGGGTTGCTGTAAGTTTTCTGGGCTGTATGGTCATGTTCCAGAAGCGGTCTCTCCTGACATTTCACCCACATCTGTGGCAGGCATCTTCAGAGTTGTGAAGTCTATTGGAAACTAGGCAAGTTGGGTATATATATCTGTGGAATGTCCAGAATGTGAGAAAGAACTCTTGTTTGATTGAGGCAGGTGTGAATGTTGCAATTGGCCACCTTGATTAGCATTTAATGGCCTTGTAGCATCGAAGCTTGGCTGATTGCTGCCTGGGGGACACCTGTGTTGGAAGGTGTTAGGTGGCCCTAGAATCATAGAACCAAAGGAGAGACCTCATGGGCCATCCAGTCCAACCCCCTGCCAAGAAGCAGGAAAATTGCATTCAAAGCACCCCTGGTTGATTCTTGTCTGGAATTCCCCTATTTTTGGGGTGTTGGTCTTTATTTACTGTCTTGATTTTAGAACTTTTTAATGCTGGTAGCCAGATTTTGTTCATTTTCATTGTTTCCTCCTTTCTGTTGAAATTGTTCACATGCTTGTGGATTTCAATGGCTTCTCTGTGTAGTCTGACATGGTGGTTGCTAGAATGGTCCAGCATTTCTGTGTTCTCAGATAATATGCTGTGTCCAGGTTGGTTCATCAAGTGCCCTGCTATGGATGATTTCTCAGGTCGAATTAGTCTGCAGTGCCTTTCATGTTCCTTGATTCACACTTGCCTCAAGCAGACAAGAGTTCTTTCTCCCACCCTGGACATGCCACAGATACATAAATCTCACTTGCCTAGTTTCCAATAGACCTCACAGAGAATGCTTGCCATAGATGTGAGTGAAATGTCAGGAGAGAATGCTTCTGGAACATGGCCATACAGCCTGGAAAACTCACAGCAACCCAGTGATTCCAGCCATGAAAGCCTTCGAAAACACATAATTGTCAGTCTCCAGTGGTGAGAAATCCAAACTTCTGCCACTGCTAATATGGGCTATTGTTTTAAAATGTGAATTAATCATTCATTATTTGCCTATTTAGTTACATAATGGACTAGGGTTTTTAGAGTACTTTATAATCTGACTTAATTGCTGTCTCTGAGATTAGATGTTCTATGAAGGTTTTCTGTTTTTTTCATTCACTCATTTGCACAGAAAATGTTGCAATGGAAAGGTCATTTTGTTGGCAGTATATCATTGCTAATTAACATGTAACTGGAACCCTAAGAATGCTAACAGGAAGATGCATTCCATAAAGGCCAGTTCACAAAGGAGTTAATCCAAACTTCTGTGTATGTATTATTCTGATATGGTCACGCATATACACAGTTCTTCTCTGGTCACAATGACATCTTTGTTGCTGAAGAAGGAAGCTTTTCTCTGTATTGTCATGCAAGTGAAGAACAAGCACATGGAGGAGTTGCATATTCCACTTTAGTCAACATGGGCCTTTGGATGGCTCTGGATGTGGTTTTGAAGGCTGTGATCTGTGTCCTTGAGCAGGAGGAAATTACAAAACTTTAACTGCTTATTTTTTAGAGAAGGAGTGGAGAACATGTGGCTCTCAGATGCTGTTAGATCCCAGTTCCCATCAGACTCTGAGACCCCTTCTACACTGCCATATAAAATCCAGGTTATCTGCTTAGAACTGGATTATATGGCAGTGTAGACTCATATAATCTAGTTCAAACAGATAATGTGGTTTTTCTATGTTGATAATCTGGATTATATGGCAGCGCAGAAGGCGCCTAAGTCCCCATATCCAGTGATGGCTGAGGATAACAAAAGCTGTGGCCCAAACAACCCAGGTGGGGTTCCTCAGGTCTACCTTTGGCATCTGATACAAATAAGTTATAGTACACTGATGCAACTTTGAGCTGTCATCGGTCCATCCAGACATTGGTAATTTTGTGAAATATTTGAAAATATGTGTTAGAGCGCTCTAGTGTCTCACCAAACATACCAGGTCATTTATGAATAGTTTAAAAGTTCTACTTTAGAAAAGATTTTGGGGTTGGCCTCAATAAAAACACATCAGAGGACCTCTCCTATGTTTGTTCAAGCCTGTTTGGTGAGGGAACTTGTCAAATGATTTTTTTAAATTAAGTAAACAACATATACTGAATCAATCCTGTAAACATGTTTATGGATACTGTCAAAGGACTATTAAAGATTTATGCGGACTACAATATTGGATTGCGTGATTTCAAATAATTGGTTTTAATGTTTTATTGTGTTTTAATGCTTATGTTTTCATTATGTTTGTTTTTGGCATCTAATTTGCTTATAGGTGTAAGCCGCCTTGAGTCCCCTACAAGGTTGAGAACGGTGGGGTATAAATACAATAAATAAATAAAGCAACAGTGCTTACATTTGCAGAACGTTTTGGTTACTTATGCTTGACAATATTATTTTCAATAAAGCTTTCCACCAGGTTTAACCAGAAGAGTTGTTAACTAACTTGTAATTTCTTGGGTTCCTGATGGCCCTGGTTTGGACCCTGGGGCTACACTGATCACTCTTCAGTCTTTTGATATAGAGACTTATTTCAGGGACATGTTATATGTTTTTTGGTAAAAGATCTATAACTTCATCTCTTGTCACACATTTTTCTCAGCTTCTTTTCCTGAAAATATCAGCATGGATATCTAGCCTACATCTTAAGTCCTTGGGCCTTTCCACACAGCCTTATATCTCAGAATATCAAAGCAGAAAATCCCACATTATCTGAGTGTGGAGTCAGATAACCCAGTTCAAAGCAGATATTGTGGATTTTTTTGCCATGATATTATGTGATACAGGGTTGTGTGGAAGGGCCCTAGGAATATCAAGGCAGAAAATCCCACATTATCTGAGGGCCCTTTCACACAGCCCTATATCCCAGAATGTCAAGGCAGAAAATCCCACAATATCTAATGTGGGATTTCCTACAATGATATTCTGGGATATAGGGCTGTGTGGAAGGGCCCAGTGTGTGAACTCTGGGATATAGGGCTGTGTGTAAGGGGCCTGTATGTGGACTCAGATAACCCAGTTCAAAGCAGATATTGTGGGATTTTCTGTCTTGATATTCTGGGATATAGGGCTGTGTAGAAGAGCTCCTAATAACAGGAGAATGGTGGTATAAAAATGAAGTAAATAAAAACAAAATAAATCCATCTTTTGTAGTGAAAGATAAACAGAATTAACTTAGTTGTAATATTCCTATCCTTTTAAAACTGTTCTTTAATGTTGTTGTCATCTAATGGCCTATTTCTCTATCTGGTACCGTTTTTGATATGTCCGAGGAATTATTTATTCTTGGTTCTTATACCATTAATAATAATATGCTCCTCAAAATCTCTTTTTGTCACTGCTTACGTGTATAGATGTAGATCAACAAGAATAATCACATGTCACTTCGAAGACTAACAAGTTTTACTTGTCAAAAGGTGTCAGGGACTGCAGACCACTTTATCAAATGCCTGGACTCCTGCCTCAGTTGGTAGTTTATTATACACAAGCAATCAGACCTACATAAATATATGTAGTAATATATAAATATATGTAGGGCTATAAATGCAGTAAATAAATAAATAAAATAAATACATTCTGTTTTAAAAACTGAATGAAAAGTTGAACTCTTACCTTGGCTGAGATCTGTGTCTGCCTTTAGTTTAAAGATGTAATATCATATGCAGCCATGAATCTCACGGGATTTCTTTGAGAAAGATATTGTGCATTCTAACTTACTTAATAATACGTATCGCTGTGAATAAAATGAGAACTTCAATGTCAGCCTGAACTTTTGTGACAGTGACAGATACATTTAATATGATTATTTACAATGGGAGCAGGTATGTTCATTTGTTCTAGGATGAAGTGTCCTGTGACATCTCAAAGACTAACACATTTATTATAGGAAAAGCTCTTGTAGAACATATGGTTATTTAAACATATGTTCTTAGAACTTAAATATCCTCTGGTGATGGCAGATGTAGCCATTGGTATCCACTACGGACAAAGAAATGCCACAGTTTCTGAGTACTAGAACAGACAGTACCTTGGTG